CCCGTTTCCCTCTCCCAGGCAGCTTTTGGAATTCTGCACAACGAGGATTTGAACAGTGTCTGCCGCACTTCTGTGCACCTCCACTCCAGCACGATGATGCAATTCCCAGGGAGTTTGGATTAGCCCCGTTTTGATCAGCTTAGGATGAGTTTTCCATTTGTTCAAGAGCTCAGGGATGTGTGAGGGGAATTCTTCCAATCCGGTGTTTACCGTGCCTGGCCCATCTGGGTTTTGGGGAGTGCTTGGTTCAATTCAGAGTTTAAAGACTGAGAAATTGAACCTGATGGTGGCATAAACCTCTGTGGGAAACATCTTTCCCTAATTATTTTCAGGTTGATTAAGAGACTTTAACTGCATAACAGAACCCATGACTTCAGCTTGATTTAAAGATTGATTCATCTGGTGACTCCTCATAATTTCATCAACCCAAACAGAATATTTTGGGATACTTTTTCCTTTTCTTGTAAAACAGTGAGGAGATTCATCTTGTGGAGTTTCCCAATGTTAAATTTTCATAGGTTTGTTTTTGCGTGGTATTTGAAATTATAGTGTCTGGAATGGTTTGGGATGGAAGGGACCTTAAATCCCATCCAATCCCATCCTTGCCATGGCAGGGACACTCCCACTGTCCCAGGCTGCTCCAAGTCTCCTCCAGCCTGGCCTTGGGCACTGCCAGGGATCTAGGGGCTTCTCTGGGTGACTATTTCAAGCTCTTCCCTTCTCTCCCTGCTTTCCAAGCCTCTGGATATTCCCATGATGCTGGGAAAGAATCACCACCCCCAGCCACCCCCAGCATTAAAAAGAGGGGTTTTAAATTCTGTTTAGAAAATTGAAAAGTAATTAGTGCCGATTCAATCAGAATTGAAGTTGGAATTCTGGAGAACTTCCATGAGCACCAGGATCAGGTGGCTTTAAACTACCTGGCTAAAGGCAGGGAATTTTGGAGTTTCCCTGCAATATCCCTGTAGAATCCTTTGTCCCAACACCACATTTTCCCTGCTTTTTCTCTTTTCCAGCCCTCACATGGCCTGAGCAAAGCCCAGCCTTATGTAACCACCCAGTCACACATTCCCAACACTGGGAATGTTCAGGGAAATCTCCCAAAAATTGGGAGCATACTTCACTCTCCTGGTAGCGCTTCTGTTTTGGCTTTGCTGCAGCTGTCCGGATCTTTCCAGTACTGCTGTTGGAAAAAAAAATTCCATCAGGTTCTGCAGTGGGAATTTTCCATTAATTGACCATTATGAAATGCTTTGGCAGAGGCTTTGCTGCAGTTCCATTCCCAACTTGGATTTCTTGGAGCTTTCCTGATATTCCTGTCAAAATCCATCCCTTGCCATAGTTCAGTGCTTGCTTGGAAGGGATTAGCTGGAGAGGGACTGGGGACAAGGGGTGGAGGGACAGGACACAGGGAATGGCTGCCAGTGCCAGAGGGCAGGGATGGATGGGAGATTGGGAATTGGGAATTCCTGGCTGTGAGGGTGGGGAGGGGCTGGGATGGAGTTCCCAGAGAAGCTGTGGCTGCCCCTGGATCCCTGGAAATGTCCTAGACCAGATTGGATGGGACGTGGAGCCATCTGGGATAGTGGAAGGTGTCCCTGCCCATGGAAGGGTCTGGAATGGGTTGGGATTTAAGATCCCTTCCAACCCAAACCATTCCCTGTTTCCATGATCCAGCATGGACCTGTTCCAAGGCAGCAGATTGGACAAGCTGGTGATGGCATCACAGCTCCTGGAATCACGGGGTGATTTGGAATCACTTATCTAAAATGACCTCTTGTCCCAAGCCCCTGCTCAAACCAGGGCCACCTTCAAGGTCAGATTCCTCAGGACTCTGTCCAGCCAAGCTTTGGATGCCTCCAAGTATCCCATGGCCCCTCTGGACACTTGGTCGATTGCACAGAGAATTTGTTTTCCTTATATCCCAGAGAAATTTCTCTTGGTGCAGCCTGAACCTCATGGTCCTTTCTTCTGCACCTCCAAGAAGAGCTTTTCATCTTCTCTAGAACTTTCTGGTAGCAAGCTGAAGACAGAAATTCCATCTGCTCTTCATCCTGGCTTCTCCTTTGTCTTCGTCTTCTCCAGGAGTTGGTATTTGAAGACAGAAATTGGATTTTCCCTTCATCCAGCCATCTCCAGGTTGGCCAAACCCAGCTCTCTCTGGATCTGGATGGCCTCCAGGGGGCCTTCCCTGCATTGTTCCAGTTTTTCCATGTCTGGAGCTGGACAGGGTGCTCAGGAATTTGTCTCACAGGGATGGGTTGGATGAGAAGGAATTTTTCCCTGGAAACAGCTCTCTTGCAGCCAGGAGTGGACATGGATTTAGGTCTGGTTCCAGGTATTAAGGGATTTCCTGTGCCTTGTCTTGAGTAACTCCATGAAAATGAAACTGAGCCCAGATTTGGATGCCTCAGGTCTTTTATCCAAGGATTCACCCTCATCTGAGGGTCAGAGATTGGAAGAACATCCCTGGGCTCGGTGATGGAACTCAGGGCTCCTTGTTTGCCGTCCAGGGATGTGCTTTAATAGGGATAACCTGGGAATTAATGTGGGAAACGTTCTGTTCTCCATCACAACTCAGGAGTTCGACCCCAAAAATTGCAGCAAGTTGATTTTCTCCTTTTTACTTTCAACCTCATGAAGAGAAACCAGAATTTCTGAGCACTCTCAACCCTTTTCAAGCACTGCCGTGATTTCAAATAACCTTTTGAACAAAACTGAAATCTCATTAGGAAATGCCATCCTAATTTGGAGCAGCAGATCCATAATTTTCTTCTGTGATCTTAAATTAAATGTTTTGGAAGGGGGGGGATGAAGGTAACATTTATTAAAAACCTGTGCCCCATTATGAGGTATTATTGCTGGAATTGTTGGGAATTTTGGAAGAGTTTTGTTTCCAATTAATCAAGAGACTCTCCAGCTTCGGTCTTCTTATGCAAATAGAAATGGAGCAGCTCAAGATGAACTTTTAGTCTTAAGATGAATTTTTTAGGCTTGGCATTTTTTTCTGGAAATTGCTTTTCAACATGGAATTTTCATGTGTTTTAATCTATTTATTTTATTAACAATATTCTTCCTTAAGAATTCCGTGGTTTGTCAAGCTTTGGAAGAGGCTGCTCAGGGAAGGGATGGAGTCAGCACCACTGGAAATGTTCAGTCAGTTGTGGAGATGGCTCATGAGTCCGTGGTTTAGTGGTGAACATGGTGGTGGTTGATGGTTGAATTTGGTGATCTCAGGGGGCTTTTCCAACCTCAATGATTCCAGGATTCTCCACCTTAGCAGAGGGATTTGAGGGTGCCTTTGACTGGTTCCTTTTGGTCACGTGAAGATTTGAGAACCTTGTTCTCCATTTCATAGAAATTTGACCTCAAATAAACCTGATGAACCAATATTTTGATAATTACTCACACCAGACTTTGCAAATATAGGGTTAAATCTAGGATAAAGGAATAATAAACCCCTACCCAAAGGGTTTTAAGGAATTTTTAGGAACAAGCAGTCCTGGGAGGTTCTGGAATGGCTGCAGCCAAGGCTGAGCTGCACATGGAATGTTGTGTTCCTGTCTGCTTGGAGGGCGCACCTGGAATGCTGAGTCCAGGATTCCAGCACACAAACAACCATGGAATTGTTGGAGAGGAGATCACAGAGATGCTCCAACGGCTGGAGCTGCTCTGGAGCCAGGCTGGGAGAGCGGGGAATGTTCCCTTGGAAAGGAGAAGAATCCAGGGAGAGCTGAGGGTACCTAAAGGGGCTCCAGGAGAGCTGGAGAGGGGCTGGGGACAAGGGATGGAGGGACAGGAGCCAGGGAGTGGCTCCCAGTGCCAGAGGGCAGGGATGGATGGGAGATTGGGAATTGGGAATTCCTGGCTGGGCTGGAATTGCCAGAGCAGCTGTGGCTGCCCCTGCATCCCTGGAAGAATCCAAGGGGAGGTTGGACATTGGGGCTTGGAGCAGCCTGGGACAGTGGGAGGTGTCCCTGCCATAACAGGGGTGGGATGGGATGGACTTCAAGGTTCTTCCCACTGAAACTGTTGGCTTCCAGGGATGGGAGGACAGCAGAAGGGGGAATAACTTTCCACTGGGAGGGAGCCAGGACTGATGGGATATTAGGAAGGAATTCCTGGCTGTGAGAGTGGCCATTTGGAAGTTGTGTGTTTTTAACCAGTACTTAGCAAAAACATTCCTTGCTTTCCTTGTTTTTCCTTGTTTCATTTCTTTCCTTCCTAAACAAAAATTGTCCCTCCAGACAAAGCTCAGAAAAACCCCAGATCAGGAATCTTTTTTTTTTTTCTGGTGGGATAAAGCCCAAATTAATTACTTTGATATCCTCATATTCCAAGGGCTATTGTGTTTTTATTCCTTGTGGAAGCCAATTCCTCGTTGTGGGCATCTCATTTTCTTGGAGCTGCTGCAGTGGGAGTAATTATCCGATATCTGTATTTTAATCAAGAGAAATGTGTTCCAAAGCCCGGGATGAATTTACCTGCTGGAAGTTAAATGCCTGTAACTAAAAGCAGGGAATCTGCATTAAATTGCTGCCTTAAATTGCAGCTTTAAAAGCAAACAGCTGCGTGCACATGATCCATGGACTCCTGGATCCTGCCATTTGGATGCAAATCAGTCTGTCTATTTATTGCCAAAGCTTTATAATTTTGTGGAAAAGAGTTAGAAGAAACAAGGAGTAAAGCTGCGAACCAGACGAAACCGCAGTAATCATCGCACTATAATAGAAATATGATTGACATTTGCATGAGATTGGCTGCGTTGTTCTGCCTAAAAATGTGAGTTTTGAAGGAAATCCAGTTGGGGAGAAGGAAATAAATCCTAAACCTGACTTTTGCTGCAAAATTCCTAAAATCTGGGGCTTTTCATGCTGTTTTGTCTCTCTTTTACCCATGGCTAGTTATGAGGCGTTGCGGGAAATTCCCGGTGCCGCGCTGTCATGGAGTCGACTAAAGCCTGGCTTAAACTTGCTTTTTCCTGCCTGTTTTTTCCCCAGATTTGGATGATCCCATAGTCACAGTCCACCAGAGCATCGGGGAAGCCAAGGAGCAGTTTTATTATGAGAAGACCGTGTTCCTCAGGTGCGTGGCCAACTCCAACCCGCCCGTGCGCTACAGCTGGCGCCGCGGCCAGGAGGTGCTGCTGCAGGGCTCCGACAAGGGAGTGGAGATCTACGAGCCCTTCTTTACCCAGGTAGGACTAAAAAACGGGAATTTTTTTTCCCATCTTGAGGCTTTGTAATGGGATCTGCCTGCTGGGTTTGTGGGGTGGGGACTGGGGATGGCCTCCAGATGGTGACGCCCCACCCAAATGCTCCTGGTGTTGTTAATAGATTTGCTGGCATAAAATATATTTAGATTTTGTAAAAATGTGAATTATTAAATGATGGGGGAGTGATATCGACAGGAGGCCTTTTAAAGGAATTTTTATTGGATCCTGCAAGCCCAAACTTCCGATTCCCATTTCCTCATCCTTCCTGATGCAACTCAGCAATTCCACACTCAGCCTAAATTACAACCTTAAAAATCTCTTCAGGCAGATTAAATTTTAGGAAAAATTTCTTTATGGAAGAGGTGCAGGCTGCCCAGGAGAGGGGTGGAGTCTCCATCCCTGGAAGTATTCAAAAATCAAGTGTGGATGTGGCACTTGAGGACATGGATTCATGGAGAACATGGCAGTGGTTGTTGGTTGGAGTTAATGTTCTTGGAGGGCTTTTCCAACCTTAAAAATTCCATGATTCCCGACTCTATGGGAGCTCCCCATGTCGGTTTTTATACTGCTTTTTTCCTGCCTCTCTTATCTTTAAATATAAGGTTTCATTTCACAATTCCCCCCCTTAAAAATGAGGTGTCAAAAAACGAAATAAAACCTTTTCCAAAGTGCTCCTGCTCCCATTCCCAGCCCCGAAGGAATCCTGGCTCTGTCAGATAAGCTGAGATTAATTTATCATGCACACATTTGCACCGAGGCAGGATGAAAAAAGGTGGCAAATCCCATTGTCTGTGGCCAAAAGTGTGGGATGGTGTTTGAAGAAAAAAAACTAAAAAGAAAAAGGGGAAAAAAGAGGGGGAAAATTGGTTTGGAAAATCTGAAGGAATAACAAGGAAAGACAGAGGTGAAAACTGCTTGGTAATTTGGTGTTCAGAGCAGAAAGCAACTGCGACTTTCATAAATAATTTTCAGTTAATGATTTGAGAGCACCTTCATTTGTGGCTTTTTATTGTACTTGACAGCTTTATATTGCTCCAACAGCTCCGTGTTTTCCGGAGAAATGTGGAGCCCGGAACCTTGCAGAGATGGGAATTAAATCACAGAGCCAAGTTATTGGTGTCCTAAATGTAATAAGATTATATTTAATTTAACATGAACGGACTCAGTTTAGCAAATCTGGGGTTTTGCTTGGTTGCTTGGACTCGAGTGTAAACTGGAGTTTCGAAATGTTTTAATTAAAAAGGGAAAGCGGATTTTTTTTTTTATTTTATATTTCATAATGGAAATGCTGAGGATTGCCTTCGCTAAAATCTAAGAATTCATCTACTAAAATGTGTCTCATGAAATTAGATTATTTTTTTTAGGTTATTAAGATCATACTTCCTAAAATCTCGCTGTGGGTTTAATTAACGAATAAATCAGATTGTCCTGGTGATATTCCAATCTTATCCATAACCTTTCTCCAGTTATTGGAGGGCAGCTGGAATTAGCATGGCCTGGATCCGTGCAGGCAAGATCTGCTCTGTGTTTATGAGAGGAAAAGATGTAATTAAAGGTTCAAGAGTCATCAACATCTTCTGCTTAATTAGTTCATTTCATGGTAGGGATGGAAACAGGGAGAGCTGATGGGAAGAGGGACAGAGGGGATTTGGCTTCAGAGGATCAGGACTTGGGAATTTTGAGAGGGAATGTTTTTCTTGAGGGTTCTGAAGTTGAATTTTAATCTGAAAGTGAAATGGAATGGAAAGAGAAAAAAAATTTCTCAGGTTTTTTACCCTCTAAAAAGAGGTTTTATTATGATGTTTTTATTATTCTGGTAAACACAGAATCCTGGAATGCTTTGGGTGGGAAGGGACCATAAAGCTCATCCCTTTCCAACCCAGGAATCCCAACCCTGTCCAACCTGGCCTTGGGCACTGCCAGGGATCAGCCACAGCTGCTCTGGCAATCCCAGCCCAGCCAGCAATTCCCAATTCCCAATCTCCCACCCATCCCTGCCCTCTGGCACTGGGAGCCATTCCCTGTGTCCTGTCCCTCCATCCCTTGTCCCCAGTCCCTCTCCAGCTCTCCTGGAGCCCCTTCAGGCCCTGCCAGGGGCTCTGAGCTCTCCCTGGAGCCTTCTCCTCTCCAGGGGAACATTTTCAGCTCTCCCAGCCCGGTTCCAGAAGGGCACCAGCCATTGGAGCAGCTCCATGGATTCTTCCGGATCACTCTAGCATGTCCATGTCCTGTTCTGTCCCCAGAGCTGGAGCAGCTCTGCAGGTGGGGTCTCACCTGAGTGGGGCAGAGGGGCAGAATCCCTCCTCTTTCCCTTTTTGCCCATACTCTGGGATGATCCCAAAATCCAGTCAGCAATTAAATCACAGGAGACACTTGGATAACTGGGCAAATCCAAACAAATTCCTTAAATATCTTCAGATTTTTCCAGTCAATCAAGAAGCATCAGCCACTTGTTCCAGCACCCATGGGGAGAAAAACAGAGCAAACCTGCCCATCCTTATCCACAAAAGTGTTGGGAAAATGAACTTCCCAAATCCCAAATCTCGATGGAGATTTTTTCCCTGACAGTTCTCATCCTCCTCGTCACTCATTGGAATTGCTCAGCCTGAGCACGAGATTAAATTTGCTGTATTTACGATAATTATGCAATTAGACATAATTAGACTAATTATCCCAACCAGTGAGGAAAATACGTACATTTTTTATAAACCTCTGCGAGCTGGGGACAGCATCCAGAATTCCATCGGGAGTTCAGCCCAAGTTCAACCTGGAGCTAAGGAGGGAATGCTGGGATGAAGCTGCTCCATGCTTCCAGAACTCAATGCCTTTAGCAGCCTGGATCAGGCCCTTCCCTATTCCAGAAAAACCTCCTAAAGCAGGAATTTGATCCTTAGGAGCAGCCTTTCCAAGGCTTAATTTTAATCTCATCATTTCCATGGGATTGTTTGTCCATAGAAATAATTTAAATCCCAATATTCCCAAAATCTCTCCACAATTTCAAGGACTGCTTCTTTTCTTTCCTGCTCAGCTGTATCTTTTTGGTGGATTTCTTTTTTTCCCAGTTCTATGCATTCATTTTCTCAAATTTCCTCATTTTTCCTAGACATTCCTGGACAGTTTATCCGTGTCCATGTCTTCCTAAAGGCTGTGCCTTCCCAGGCCCTTCCCAATTCCAAAGAAAACTCCTAAAGCAGGAATTTGATCTTTAGGGTCAGCTTTTCCAAGGCTTGGCCTTGCAATGGGCTTCATTTTAATCCCATCATTTCCATGGGATTGGTTGTCCATGGAAATCATTTAAATCCCAACATTCCCAAAATCTCTTCAAAATTTCAAGGACTGTTGCCTTTCTTCCCTGCTCAGCTGTATTTTTATATGGATTTATTTTTTTCCTAGTTTTGTACATACATTTTTTCAAACTTCCATATTTTCCCTAGACATTCCTAAGCAGTTTATCCACTGATATTGTTAAAAATAATTCCATATCTTCCTAAGGCTGTGCCAATATTAAAGTTGTTTAGATTTATTGGGACACCGGATAATGAACATTTCCCACATTTTTCTTTTGGAACAATGCAGGGGGAATCTCACATTTCCCATTTCCCTATTTTCTGCTTTCCATTTTTGAAGGAATTTGACATTCCATGTCCCGCTCAGCTCCCTGCTCCATCCCTGCTCCCTGGCTAAAAATAGAATCCATCAGCTTCTCATTTTTAAATGAAAACAGGAGGAATTTTGTACCGTGGGATTTTTTCTTCATGGAAATTGTACCTTATAATAAATAATTCTGAACAATTTGCTGCTTGAGGGACTCCATCAGAGCAATTTCCCCCTCACTTTTCAGTGTTAATATTCACTGTATCCTTTGGAAATCCTTTGGGGGAGGATCTCGAAGCCTTTAGGTAGAATCCTTGGAAAAGCTGTTTCTATTTTGTGCAATTTCTTGTGAATTTACTCCTTTTTTTAGGGTCATCCCTTCTGGACCAGTCGTGTTGTATTTTGTGTGTGGTATTTTCAGGGTCTTTTGTGGCAGGAAGGAAATGATGAGTCTGACTCCATGTTCTTAGAAGGTTAATTTATTATTTTACGGTATTATATTATATTAAAGAATGCTATACTAAAACTATACTAAAGAATAGAGAGAGGATACAGACAGAAGGCTTAACAAGATACTAATGAAAAACTCGTGACCTCTTCCAGAGTCCTGACACAGCTGGACCATGATTGGTCATTAAGTCAAAACAATTCACATGTTGGATAAACAATCTCCAACCACATTCCAAAGCAGCAAAACAGGGAGAAATAAATGACATAATATTATTTTCATTTTTCTCTGAGACTTCTCAGCTTCCCAGGAGAAGGAATCCTGGTGAAGGGATTTTTCAGAAAATTTGACAGTGACACTTGTGGATATAACATCAGAGGTCAATCCCAAGAGACCCACTTGGGAATGCTGGGGGAGGATGGAAATCCCAGATCCATATCCTTTTTTCCTCTGCCCCTTCCTGATGTTCTCTCCTCCTTTTCCAGGGAGAAACCAAGATCCTGAAGCTGAAGAATCTGCGACCTCAGGACTACGCCAACTACAGCTGCATCGCCTCAGTGCGGAATGTCTGCAGCATCCCGGATAAAATGGTGTCCTTCCGCCTCTCCAACAAAACTGGTGAGTCCCAGCAGCACCTCCTGCCCTGGCTGCACTCAGCTCTGGAATCTGAGGCTCTTCCAGGGAATCCTGGAATGGTTTGGGTGGGAAGAACCTTGAAGTCCATCTCATTCCCACCCCTTCCATGGGCAGGGACAGCTTCCATTATCCCAGGTGATCCAAGCCCCAATGTCCAACCTGGCCTTGGGCACTGCCAGGGATCCAGGGGCAGCCACAGCTGCTCTGGGAATTCCATCCCGGCCCCTCCCACCCTCCCTGCCAGGAATTCCTTCCTGATATTCCATCTAAATCTATCCTCTTCCAGCTTAAAGCCATTCCCCCTTGTCCTGGTCACTCCAGCCAGGAATTCCTTCCCAATATCCCAGCTAAATCTCCCCTTTTCCACCTAAAAGCCATTCCCTGTGTTCTGTCCCTCCATCCCTTGTCCCCAGTCCCTCTGCAGCTCTCCTGGAGCCCCTTCAGGCCCTGCCAGGGGCTCTGAGCTCTCCCTGGAGCCTTCTCCTCTCCAGGGGAGCACCCCCAGCTCTCCCAGCCTGGCCCCAGAGGGGCAGAGGGGCTCCATGGAGCAGCTCCATCACCTCTGGAATCCCTCCAGTAGTTCCTTGTCTTCCCTGAGCTGTTGAAACTTTAGAATTTTTATTCTACAAAATATTTCATGGGAAAACCCCAACCTTTCTCTACTCTGGCATCGATTTCAGGGATTGATTTGACCTTTTCTTACATCGACCTAAACATCAATTCCTTCATTGATTCCAACCAAAATGTTTCCTTTCGGGTTTAATTGTTCCAAATGGGAATATCTGAGGGGTTATTGGATATTTCCAATGTGTTGAAATCCGTTTTTGGGAAGGTCTCTACGCCTTCAGGTAGAATCCATGGAAAAGTTGTTTCTATTTTTGGAATTTGTTGTGAATTTATTCTGGTTTTTGGGCTCATCCCCCATGGATCAGTCAGTTGTGTCTCTCCCTCTCGTTGTGGCTGTAACCCCACGGTCAATCCCAAGAAATGCACTTGGGAATGCTGGGGGAGGATGGAAATCCCATATTTTGCCTCTCCTAAAGGCTCCATGTCCAGGATCAGCACAGGACGTGTCTGAAATGGTTTCTGAACCTCCCACCAAAGAGCCAAACTGAGCTTGGATTTCTGACTAATCAGGAATTTCAGGGCAATGTGCTTTGGAAAACAATCCCACAGGAAGTGTTGGAACATTTGGAGACTTCAGGTTAGATTAGGGTGGGTTAGCCTTAATAATTTGTGTCTGAAATCAGGGAGAAAATGAACACAAAATTGAAATGCTGAGCGTGGCTGGTATCAACGAGGAATTTTATTTGCACTTCCATATTTTCCATCATTCCCATCCTCAGGGCTTTATTCCAAGGAGTTTCCTCCAGCTTTTTTGGAATTGCTGATTGGACAGCAGAGCTGTGGTTTCCCACTGCTGTCCACAACGCCTGAAATCAGCTCCACCAGGAATTATGGTTTTCTCCAAAGATATCCAGGAAAATTATTAAAAGGCCTTTATTTACACTCCCATAAATTTTTCCAGGGGAAAAAAAATACCCTGAAGTGAGGTTTGAACTTCATGAGGAGCTCTGCTTTCCTGGCAGGAGAATCCTTGCCATGAGAGGTGGGGTTGGGAGTTGGGAGCAACTCCTGACCCTCATCCATGGCAAGAGAGCATGGGAATTGATCATGCTCCCATTTTTCCTTGGAATTACTTTGCTGTTGGAGCCAGCACAGTCTCAGGTCGTGTTGAGCCTCATCTTCAAAGAAATTGATGTTCCAGCACTTGGGGAGCAGCAAACTCTCATTGCCTGAGCCCAGGATGGGTGATCCTGGGGCAATTTTGCGCCAAAAGAAGGAATTATTGCCACCTTACACATGCCAAGGTTATTTGGGGAGAAAATTGTCTTTTCTGGAGTAATTTCCCAAGCAAACAAACCTGGAAAATAACAAAGATTCCCTCTTTTCCATTAAGAATTTGATCACAAGCATCAACAGTGGGATTAGGTGTGCAAAGTGATTAATGCAGGACCTCATTAAGGACAGGGACTGACGTGGGGGTGACTCTAAACTAAAACTTTGCTCATTTAGCAAAACTTTACCTCACAGAAGTTCTTCAGTTGAACTTCAGCTGGTGTAACTTGGGAGAAATTAGAGAAATTGTAAATCCAGAGGAATCCAGGATAAATCCAAAGTAATGAAAATCAGAGCCAGAAGTTGAAGCTGTTTCAGTCCTGTCCTGTCCATGGGATTTAATTGGAAGCTGGAGGGATGGGAAGGAGAGCCAGGAACACCTGCGAGGTGCAAAGATGTCCCAGATTTATTGTCACTGCTGTGGTTCTGTGTTTAATTCAGCTGCATTTTGTGGGATCAGAATGGGGAAATTTGGCTGTTCTGCATTTGATGGAATCAGGGAATGGTATGGGTTGGATCTTAAATCCCACCCAGTGCCACCCCTGCCATGGCAGGGACACCTCCCACTGTCCCAGGGTGCCCCAATGTCCAGCCTGGCCTTGGGCACTGCCAGGGATCCAGGGGCAGCCACAGCTGCTCTGGCAATTCCAGCCCAGCCAGGAATTCCCAATTCCCAATCTCCCATCCATCCCTGCCCTCTGGCACTGGGAGCCATTCCCTGGCTCCTGTCCCTCCATCCCTTGTCCCCAGTCCCTCTGCAGCTCTCCTGGAGCCCCTTCAGGCCCTGCCAGGGGCTCTGAGCTCTCCCTGGAGCCTTCTCCTCTCCAGGGGAACATTCCCAGCTCTCCCAGCCTGGCTCCAGAGCAGCTCCAGCCCTTGGAGCAGCTCTGTGGATTCCTCTGGATCTCTCCAGCAAAGTCACAACTTTCTTGTGCTGAGCATTCCAGAACTGGAATTTCTCAGGTGGAGTCTTCCAAGGACAGGACAGAGGGGGACATTTCCCTCTCTCCAGTTGTTCCATGAGACCCTGCATCCTCAGCCCCCTCCTCCAATGCTGTGACCTCCCTTTTCAGTCAAAAACATTTCTTTTTTTCTGGAACAGACCAGTTTAAAACACAAAGCCAACCCCAAAACCCAAAGTGGGTCCTGAAAATGGAGCAGCTGAGGCCACTCCAGCAGTGTCACTGTGCACAGGCCAAAGCCCAAGGTGACAATCAAAAACAATAATTTGAAGCTGAAGGTAGAGGGGCTTGTTGAGGCTGATTTTGTGTCTAAAGGCAGCAATTAATCTGCAAAATTCTTAATAGATAAGAAATTTGAATGGAAGCAGCCCCATGGCAGGGCTGGGATGGGATGGGATTTAAGGCCCGTCCATCCCAAACCATTCCATGATTTTGGGATTCTCTCTGCCTCCACCTACATGGTGCTTTGCTCAGGTTTCTCTGAGCAGCAACAAATTCTTCCCATGCAGAAATCTCTGGATCTGCTGTTCCAAGCCCAGCTCAGCTGAGTGTCAAAGAGGAATTACTGACAGCTGATGGTGTCACCAGTTTTCATGGGAGGCACTAAAAAAAGGGAATTTTACCCCCAGCTCCTGCTAAATGGCACATGCAACACTCCGAGCTAAGAATAACCTGAATGGAGCTTTTCAAGAGCGTTCATTGTTTCAAAATGCCAGAGAAAAAGCAGGATATTTACCCAGAAAACCACGGGAATTCTGGGCTCCTCAGAATAGCTCCTGTAATATGATTGAGGAAAGGCAAATCAGGCTTTTATCTCGCTCCACAAAGCAGCTTGGGTGGCACTGATTCATTTGGAAATGATATTACTTTGTCTATTAGCAGCCAGTTTAGTGCAGGTGATCATTAATCCATAAATTAAGGCTGAGCTTTGGCAGCTTCCAGGAGAAAATAAACCAGCCCAGGAACTTTTCCCGAGCAAGAAGAGTCTTTCAATCCGTGATTTTTCAGCTGCCTGCCACAGCTCATTGAAATCACAGCTGAAGCTGCTGCTCTGTCTGGGGCATGTGGTGGGAGACAAATTAAAAAAGGCTTAATTCACTTTTAATCCCTCGATTAGGCTGAAGCCTGTCATGATAAACTTGCTTTGTTTCCCGTCAGTCAGACAATGCACTGCAAAGGGAATTATGGAAGGTGGAAAAAATATTTCTCTTCACATTTCCTGGCATTCCTGGGGGGAGGTGACTGGGATCTGTATGAAAGGGGCTGGAAATCCTGATGGTGCTCCAAGCTGAGCACTGCAGGTGGATGATTTTATGGAATCCCAGAATGGTTTGGGATGGAGGGAGCTTAAATCTCATCCAGTTCCATGGGCAGGGACACCTCCCACTTTCCCAGGCTGCTCCAAGCCCCAATGTCCATCCTGGCCTTGGACATTTCCAGGGATCCAGGGGCAGCCACAGCTTTTCCAGGATAATTCTTTAGGAATAATAAGAAATAAATCTGGAAGGGATCCCAAATGATCCCCCAGTCCTGTTCCTTATTAGGTCTAAACCTTGCCCTACCAATCCTGTTATCGTGGCTGGTTTTGGCTCCCTGCAGGGCTCACAGGGAATATGGTCCTGGCATGGAATGAGGGATTGTCCTCTTTCCTTTTCCCTCTTTCCTTTTCCCTTTTTTCCTTTCCCTCTTTCCCTTTCCAGCAGGATTTTCCCTGTTGGAGTGTGAGTGTCTTGTTTCAGGAATCCCTGAGGAGCTGGGCAGGGGCTCAGCCTGGAGCAAAGGAGGCTCAGGGGCCCTTGTGGCTCTGCACAGCTCCTGCCAGGAGGGCACAGCCGGGGGGGTCGGGTTCCCATTTTCCATGTAAAAACCTCCAGGATCAGAGGAAATGACCTCAAGTGTCACCCGGGGAGGGTCAGGCTGGAATTTGGGAAAATTCCTTCATGGAAAGGGTTCCCCAGCCCTGGTACAGCTGCCCAGGGAGGTTTGGAGTGCCCATCCCTGGAGGGATTTAAATCCCTGTGGATGTGGCACCTGGGGACAAGGTCAGGCTTTGGCAGGAATGATTGGACTCAATGTCTTAGAGGTGTTTTCCAACCCTAACAATTCCATGAGTGTATAAAG